CAAACCCACCAGCCACTCCTTGGAAGGAAGACTGGGCAATCTACTTCCGTAGTGATACCACCTCAGAAACCCAAGGAGCAGTTGCTATGAGTAGGATCCCACTTGACGGCAGTGAGTTAGTTAGTTAGTTAGTTAGTTTGACAGCACACACCTGCCCACTTTGAGCCTTTCCTGGAAATGCATTAGCTGGAGCCCATCTCAGTGCTCCACTGAGCAAACCCCTGGGGGCTTTCTGAATCCAAAGCCTTGCTCATTCCACAATTAAGCCAAGTAAGTGGCGGGGACTAGAGAGACCTTGGTTCCTAGCTTGGGACTCTCAATGTGGAGGCACTACAGCCACCTTGCCTTGCTGGCCACCCCAGGTTCCAGCATGTGGCTGGCTTGGTGAAGGCCAAATGTCACCTGGACAGGGTTCAGAAGGTACCTTTAGGCCCTGCCCACTGGAGCTGGGGTATCTGTGGGCAGTTTGGAGCTAGAATGTGGTGAATGTGAGGGAGCAATCTGATGTCTGGACCATCAACTCAGGAAAAGGGTGAACTGAAAGGGTGCTGTGGCAGGTACTGCCGCCTTGGGGGTGACTGTCACAGGCAGAAGAAGCAAGCTCAGCAGATGGAAAGACATGCGACGCTGTTTTCAGTAAGGAGTTTATTTCTCTTTAAAAAACAAAACAAAACAAAAACAACAACAGTGGTTGGATCTAGATACAGCAGCACTGTGACGTGGACGGAACATACATGGATCCAGAGCAGCAGAAGAACAAAAGCCATCAGCTTCAGGAACGACCTCCAAAAAGGACCTACGTCCATTCATCAATGTTAAAATCTCCCTGAAAAAATAGAAACCTTTGGATACTAGGATGGTTATTACTTTAACAATACCAATGGCCACTAAGCTCTCCTAAGTGAGAACACTTGCTCTTGATCTATTACAAAATAACTTACTGATGGACTGGAGAAAGACATTCTGATTCTTCTTTTGGGGAGGGAAATTCTCCTAGAGAGAGCTAGCTTTTCAAATGCTTTAAAACACTGTCTCTGGCACCAGCCTCTGAAGTTAGACCAGGTAAGACTTCCCACACCTGTGCAGGTGTCTGACTTGCGCTAGTCTGAGCTTCAAAAGCTGGGTGGGGTGCTGGTTAGAGCAGTGTGAAGGAGCCTGGGGGTGGTGAGGCTTCATCTTGGGGATGTGTTGTGATCTGAAGGGAGCCAGCCCTCTGTCAATTGCTTTGAAATGCACAGAGATTTCACACCTACTTGCTTTCCATAACAAAGAAGGTCATATCTCCGATGGTTGGGTTATGAAAACAGAGGACAACCAGAGAAGTCGCCCTTGGAAGGGCACAGGTTTCATCTGGACACTCAAGTGCACAGATCGCCCAAGATGAGAGCTGAATGTCAACTGGATGCTTTCCTCTTCATCTTGGGAGACTTCTGCTTGCACAGGAAGTCCTGTTGCTTTGGCAAGGTCTGGGGTGCTAGGCTCAAGGAGGCCCGGGGGGCTCTCAAGAGGTTCCCTAAGGCCCGCCCCTCTGTAGGAGAGTCAGTCCATGGTCTGGGCCAGCAGCTTACTTGAGAAAGGTGCTGGGAAGCCAAACCAATGACCCAGCCTCTCATGGAAGGACAAGGGCGTGGAAATAGAAGGAAGAGCTTTCATGCTGGGGCTGGGCTCTTTGGGGAGCTCTCCAGTGAGGAGTGGAACTCCCGGCTTCTCTGGAGGGCTGGCCCTCAGGGTCAACAAGAGCTAGCCTAGGCTCAAGGGCAGGCTTTTCAGCTGTGCCTTTAAAGCAAAGATGGCATCCATACGCTCGTTCCCAGAATGCACCACCAAAGTTGTCCCAGTGGGTTGCTTGCCAAGTGTACACACACCCAGGACCACAACTGCTTTCTTCCATGCAGCCTAGCCCCCTGCTACTGGTCCTCCAAGGCTGATGTTCCCATTTTCTTAGAGCAATGCATTTCAGAAAACAGGCACATCCTTCAAGATACAGCAACGCTTAGCTACTGTGTAAGGAGCAGGCCTGGGAGGTTCCAGGAGTGAAGTTCCCGACCAAGAAGGATTAGAGAATGAGTTACATCTGATGTGGATGACATCCTCCGTGAAGGCAGGGGTTGGGTCGTCTTGGTATTACGGTGATTCTTAGTCCCCTGAGGGGGCTCGCAGCAGAGACCACCCCTGTCCCACTGAAGACGGCAGCTTGTCTCCTGAAAGTGGGAACAGAGACGCTTCTGCAAGACCCTGCGTCTCAAAGGCACTAAGTCAGCTAACGTCCGGTGAGGAAAATGTCACACTTGGAGAAAGGAGGACCTTTCTAGGACGAGCTCAAATGCATTTAAAAAGATTGAAATCCATTGCTCATCCAGATATGCCCTGTCCCAGAAAGGGAGATGGGTGGGGAAGTTTTTCAAATTTACAAACATCTTTTTAAAAAAGCAGCTATAGAAAACAAAGTTGGATTGGGAGCGGAGTGGGGAAAGGCCAGGGCCAGGGCTGTGATGATTTCAGGGCTCACAGGGTGTGAAGGGCTGATGTCCAGGCACTGTTCTAATAAGGGTGTCCCATCTCTTGTTACAAAGCACTGGGCCAAAAGGAACAGGAGGATTTCAAAGGCCAAGGGGCCCCGACGCTGTCTTCTGTGGACTTGCCTAGAAGTGCGGTAGGAGCAGGAAGGAAGACTTGAGTTATTGATGCTGAGCTCTGTGCTTGAACGTCACTTGAGCCCTGGTGACTTAGACATGCAGTCACCAGACTTCGGTTTTCTTTCTTGCTCCTTGGGGATTAACTTTGAGGCATCAAAACACAGCTTTCTACACCAGGCCATTGCATAAGGGTTGAGTGGCTGTGAGCTGGGCGTAGAGGACGAACCTTCCGGGCAGGCGGGTGGGTGGTGGCTTGGGCTGCTGACAGTTCTAGGGGACAACCATCCTTTTCATCATGAAAGGAGGGTCAGCAAGAGCTTGAGAGCCTTAAAAAGCTGCCCAAAGAGATTTCCACATCCTTGGCAAAACTGCATACGGCTGTTTGTGTTTGTCTTGTATTCAGCCCAAGAAATACGACTGAAGCAGCTCCTGAGACCAAGAACATAATACTGTGGATTAAGAGGCTCCGAGGGAAGGCCAGCTAGGTCTTCTCTCCCATTTGTTTGGAAAATTACCTCGAAACAATAAGTCCCAGTGTTCCAGCCCCTTTGTAGCAACGTGTCCCAGAGGCCCACTGGCAAAGCCTGGGAACAAGTGTGGAAATTGGGCCAGGAGCCTGACAGTGCATGCCATTCTCACCTCCCTGAAAGCTCCCGCTCCAAGGATGCTGGGTCACCCGGAGGCATGTTCAGGACAAACACAACCGAGGCCCCACTGGTGGCTAAGGCAGTGGTTCTCACACTCTGGGTGCATCAGAATGACCTGGGAGCTTTTCATGTCATTCCTGGGCCCCACTCCTCACCATGCCCAGTCAGTAGGCTGGGGGTGGAACCCAGGAATCTGCATCTAACAGGAGGTGCTGATGCAGGTAGTGTGGTGGGTGCTGGGTGCCAGGTGCCGAGGCCAGGTCTGAGGCAGGATCAGACACGGGACACAGTGGGGCAGGAAAGCGGGGAGCTCAACCCCTCACCCTTGTCCTGGAGGTGGGGGGAGGGCGGGTTTGCTCCTTGCCACCTCATGGAGGCAGCAGATGAAGGCCGGCAGGTCCCTGGGGCTGGAGGCCATGCTCAAAGGGCCCGAGACTGGCTTCAAGGTCCTGGCCTGGCAAACCCACCCTGGGGCCACTCATGCCTGAAACAAAGAGGCCCCTTTAGAGCTTGCCTCTGCCCACCTCTTCCCAGAAGCGACAGTTTGTCTTGAACACCTTTGGTGGCCATGCCTCTCCATGGGTATCTCTCCTTGGAGACTCCATTCCCATCCACCATCCACGCCACCTCTGCTAGCTCATCTGTGCAGACCTGGAAGCTCTTGAGAGCCCGTGAACACCTAAGGAGCTTGCTGGAGTCCCAGGCACACTTCCCTGCACCTCGTCTGCACCCACTGGCTGCAGGAAGAGCCAATGGGATGGATCCCAAGGTGGCTGCTCAGGATGACCCCACTGACTGTTGCTTCCTGACGCTTCTGTGGGCTGTAGGGCCAGCTGGATGGCCATGACTGGCCCTTATCATCAAAATAAAATAGAACAAAAATCCCCAAATGCAAGCCTCCTGCAAACATACTGGCTTTAGAAGTCAGGACCTGCTCAGAAGATAAAAGGCCCAGAGACCACGGGCAGAAGCCACCCCGCTCTGTAGCACGGCCACCTTCCAGGAGGAAGGGGAGCTTGGGATGGAAGCAACAAGGGGATGGCACAACTCAAGACAAAGTGCGCGTCTCCACAGAGCCGACCCCAGGCTGCAGGGCTGACAAGGTGTGTTGGCTGCGGGGAATGCCCCAGAGGAGTCTTTGGGCATTGGATTCAGGATGTCACAGGCCGACAGAAGGGCGGCATCAGTGTGAGGGACAGGTTACAGAGATGGATATAAATCCTTTAACGGTGAAACGTGAATCATTTTCTACATTTAATGAAAATGTTTTCCCGTTTGAGGCCCTAGAAGCTGAGACGCATTTTTTTAAAATTCTCCTCCACCCCTAATATGTCTTAAAACACATGGCTTAACAGCGGCTGCACAGAAATTTTACACCCTCAGAGTCTGACTTTCATTTAAATACAAATATACAAAATGTAAACTGAGACAATAGAGAAATTTACAAAACTTTTCTTTAAAAATAATAAAGACAAAATTCAGTTCTAGTTACGACGCTATTAAAATACGTGCAAGTTGTCCGGGCCGACTGGATCTCTGCTGCAGTGTGCTCACAGAGCCCGACCCACTCCGGCTCCAGGGCCACCTCTGAAAACAGACCGGAGCGGAAATCTCTCCGAGAAACCTCGGGGCTCTGCTTCCAGGGGGTGGCGCCTCCTTCCCCAGCGCCGACGGGCCCCCCAACCACTGGGCACCAGTTTCCGCGTCTTTCGGTGGGAGGGTGTTGGCTGCTTCCACTGTGAACGTCAAAGCCAGGGCTGAAACTAGCTGCTTCCAGTGGAGTTTGAGCTGACATGGTTTGAATTTACGTGGTGGTTAAAACTAGTCTTGGAATTGGACGCACTCTTGGAATTGTTCTGATGCTGGAGAGAGAGAATGAGAGTCAGTTCTGGGCGGACTCAAGGCCCGGAGCCGACATACAGATGGGGGCTTAGAAACTTGGGGCCTCAGGGAGTGGCTGCCTGCCCAGTGGTGGTTCTTGGTTTTGCTAACTTTTGTGTTCACTCCCTGTAGACCCAGACCCAGCGGCCACCCCTGGGGGCAGAGGGCTTTATCTGCAAGGTCAAGGTGACTGAAACACCATCAGGGAAGAGGTGTGGAGTTAACAGAACCCGGGATCTAGGAGGAGGCGGCCCCTCCTGTCACATCTAGAAGGGTTAAGCTGCAGGCCCAGGGCCTGGCTGTCCCGATTGAATACCGGATCCACTACTTCCTGGCTGCGTGACCTTGGACAAGTTATTGAATCTCTTGGTTGCCATGATTATAAACCCTAAGGTGGTACAAACAGTTAAGTGATTGGCTCCCAGCTGAAAGGCTGGTGGTTCAAAGCCACCCAGAGGTTCCTCAGAAGAAAGGGCTGGCAACCTACTTCTGAAAGGTCTTGGCCACTGAAAACCCTGGGGCGCAGTGCTACTCTGCACACACAGGTCGCCGTTCTTCCCTGTCATCAAAGAGAAAGGAACCATGGTTCCTGGGACTCAGGGGAGGAGGAATGTGAGGAACCAGGAGGGGCAAGGGAGCCCCCAGGTGCTGGACCCAGAGCTCTGGGACCCAGTGTTCGTCAAGGGCTTGGCCAAGAGGGGGTCCTTGTGTGTCTGTGACTCATGGGGCCCACACCACCCCTTAGCTCAGGGACAAGCTCTAGGGCAAACACCTTTTCCCAATGAATAAAGTCTTTGCTGGCTGCCAGCCTGAGGGGAGCCCCAGGGGGCAGGAAGCAGCAGCAGACGGGGGCAGCAGGAACAGGTAGGGGAAGCCCAGGAAGTGAGCAGAGCAGCTGGAACAGCTAAGGGAGGCGACCTTGTCTGTTGGTCTGTTGTACTGTGGTGGCTCGTGTGTGGCTGTGAGGCTGGAGCTGTGCCAGCAGGGGTGCCATGGTGGACCGGTTCCGGTGGAGCTTCCCGACTGAGACAGACTCGGAAAACCGTATGAATAGTAGTGAAACACTGATGTATTGCTGGAAAATTTTATGGATAGCCCTGAAACACTGTCCGACACGGTGCCAGATGAGCCCCTCAGGTCGAAAGGCACTCAAAATTTGACCGGGAAAGAGCTGTCTCATCAGAGTAGAGCCGACCTGAAGGATATGGATAAAGCAGAGTTTTCAGGGCCTCCATTAGCTGTAGTGGCATGACTCCATATAAGAAGAAACAGCTGCAAATAGCCATTAATATCTGGAATGTGGAATGTATGAAGTACGAATACAGAAAAGTTGGAAGTTGTCAAAAATGAAATGGAACGCATAAAGATTGATGTCCTAGGCATTAGCGAGCTGAAATGGACCAGTTTTGGCCATTCTGAATCAGGTAAACTTATGATCTACTATGCTGGGATTGAGAGTTTGAAGAGGAATGGTGTGGCATTCATCATCACAACGGATGTTTCAAGATCTGTCCTGTACAATGCTGTCAGTGATAGGATAATATCCATACGTCTACAAGGAAGACCCGTTAATGCTACTATTATTCAAATTTACGTACCAACCACCAAAGCCAAAGATGAGGAAATTGAAGATTTTTACCAACTTCTGCAGTCTGAAATTGACCAAACATGCAATCAAGATGTGCTGATTATCACTGGTGATTAGAATTCAAAAGTTGGAAACAAAGAAGAATCACTGATAGTTGAAAAATTTGGCCTTGGAGACAGAAATAACGCTGGAGATCACATGATGGAATTTTGCAAGACCAACAACTTATTCATTGCAAATGAATAAGTTGTTTGCAATTTTTCAACAACACAAATTGTGGCTATACACGTGGACTTCGCCAGATGGAGTACACAGGAATCAGATTGACTACATCTGTGGCAAGAGGCAATGGAGAAGCTCAATATGTTCAGCCACAAGGCCAGGAGCTGATTGTGGAACAGATCATCAACTGCTCATATGCAAGTTCAAATTGAAGTTGAAGACAATTAAAACAAGTCCACGAGAGACAAAATATGACCTTGATAATATCCCTCCTGAATTTAAAGACCATTTAAAGAATAGATTTGACATTGAACACCAGTGACCAAAAACCAGAGGAATTGTGGGATGACATCAAGAGCATCATCCATGAAGAAAGCAAGAGACCAGGAAAAAGACAGGAAGGAAGAAAAGACCAAAATGGACGTCAGAAGAGACTCTGAAACTTGTCCTTGAATGGAGAGTAGCTAAAGCAAATGGAAGAAATGACAAGATAAAAGAGCTAAACAGAAGATTTCAAAGAGCAGCTTGAGAAGACAGAGTCAATTATTATCATGAAATGTGCAAAGACATGGAGTTGGAAAGCTAAAAGGGAAGAACACGCTTTCTCGCTGAAAGAATTGAAGAAAAAATTTAAGCCTCGAGTTGCAGTATTGAAAGATTCTATGGGCAATATATTGAATGATTCAGGAAACATCTAAAAAGATGGAAGGAATACAGAGTCACTGGACCAAAAAGAACTGGTCGATGTTCATCCATTTCAGAAGTGGCATATGATCAAGTACCAATGGTATTGAAGGAAGATGTTGAAGCTGCATTGAAGGAAGTGGTGAAAAACAAGGCTCCAGAAATTGATGGAATAATACCCAGTGAGATGTTTCAACAAATGGATGCTGCACTGGAGGCACTCACTCAGTTATGCCAAGAGATTTGGAAGACAGGTACCTGGCCAACTGACTGGAAGAGATCCATATTTGTACCCATTCCAAAGAAAGATGATCCCACAGAATGTGGAAATTATTGAACAATATCATTAGTATTGCACGCAAGTAAACTCTTACTGAAGATAATTCAAAAACAGTTACAGCAGTATACTGACAGAGAACTTCCAGAAATGTAAGCTGGATTCAGAAGAGGACATGAAACAAGGGATATCATAGCTGCTGTCAGATGGATCTTGGCTCAAAGCAAAGAATACCAGAAAGATGTTTACTTGTGTTTTATTCACTACGCAAAGGCATTCAATTGTGTGGATCTTAAATTTTGGGTAACATTGAGAAGAATGGGAATTTCAGAACACTTAATTGTGCTCATGAGGAATTTGTACATAGACCAGAAGGCTGTTGTTTGAACAGAACAAGGAGACACTGCATGGTTTAAAATCAAGAAGAGAGTGCGTCCAGGTTGTATCCTTTCCCCATACTTATTCAATTTGTATGCTGAACAAATAATCAGAGAAGCTGGACTATATGAAGAAGAACATGGCATCAGGATTGGAGGAAGACTCATTAACAACCTGCGTTATGCAGATAACACAACTTTGCTTGCTGAAAGTGAGGATGACTTGAAACACTGATGAAAACTGAAGACTACAGTCTGCAGTATGGATTACACCTCAATATAAAGAAAACAAAAATCCTCACAAGAAGACCAATAAGCAGCATCACGATAAATAGAGAAAAGATTGAAATTTTCAAAGACTTCATATTACTTGGTTCTACAATCAACACCAATGGAAGTAGCAGTCAAGATATCAGATGTCATATAGCATTGGGAAAATCTGCTGCAAAGGACCTCTTTCAAGTGCTGATGAGCAAAGATATTTCCTTGAAGACTAAGGAGTGCTTGATGCAAGCCATAGTATTTTCAATTGCCTCATATGCCTGTGAGAGCTGGACAATGTAAAAGGAAGACTGAAGAAGAGTCTATGCTTTTGAGCTGTGGTGTTGGTGAAGAATGTTGAAAATACCACGGACTGCTAAAAGAACTAACAAATCTGTCCTGGAAGAGGTGCAGCCGGAATGCTCCTTGGAAGCGAGAATGGCCAGACTTCGTCTCTTCTACTTTGGTCATGTTGTCAGAAGGGACCGTTCCCTGGAGAAGGATGTCATGCTTGGTAGGGTGGAAGGACAATGAAAAAGGGGAAGGCCCTCAGTGAGATGGACTGACACGGTGGCTGCAGCTATGGGCTCAGGTACAGTAAGGATCGTGGGGCTGGCACAGGACTGGGCAGTGTTTCGTTCTGCTGTACCTGAGGTCCCCATGAGTCAGAGATGACTCACTGGCACCTAACAACAACAGCTGGAGGTCACATGTCAGATGCAGGATGTCCTGCCCCGGAGGCTGTGAGGTGCTGCGGGGTCACTTCTCCAGGATCTCCCTGCTCTCTTCCGTTACAGCTCTGCCGACAGAGCCATCTTTGCGAGGCCAGAGAGCAGCGCTTCCCAACCTGGGGCGATTTTTTTGTCGGGGGACATTTTAGATAGTCACAAACGTGGGGTGGGGGTGGAGATACTACTGGCATCAAATGGGTGGGGCCAGGGATGCTGTTCAACAACCTACAATGCATAGAACAGACCCCCCATCACGACGAAGGATCTGCTGGCCCAAATGTCAGTAGTGCTGGGGTGAGAAGCCCTGCTGCGGGGTACACTTTACACCCCGTTTCACAGACGGGGAAATGAGGCACATCACCTCAGACTGAGCTTCTGACCACTGGAAGCCCGGCCACTCTCTCTGCTGGCAAACCTGTCAACTGTGTTTGGCCAGAGGGCATTTGCAAATGGGTTGGCCTGCCCCTTCAGCCCCCGTGGGGTGCAGACAGGCGAGTGGCCCTTCCAAGCTGCCCCTGTCCTGTTCTCTGAGCCCACAAGGTGTAGAGTTGCAGCTCTGGTCTCCACGCAGGCTTCTCCTGCTTCAGATGGGAACGCCTGAGCCGGGGTTCCCCAGAGCTGAGGCCAGAACAGGAGGCATGGGGGCGTCTCACCTGCCGTTTGAAGATTCGCTGGAGCAGCCCTTTCTTTGGCGGCTCTGGAGGGTGGTTTCTGTTCAGGTCCGGTGAGAGGGTACCGTTAGGCCCAAACACGTTCAGTTCCTTGAAGCATTCTGTTTCTATCATCTGCAGAAACAGAGCCAAAATACAGGGCTGTCAGGGCCCTGGGCGGGCAGGACCACGGCAGCTGGGTGAGCCTGGCCCTTGAGTCGCTGGTCTTCCCCCTCCATTTCATAGCTGCCTTGAGGACTTGCCCCAGGGGTACATGGCCCATTCCCCTCACCCCCACCCCCCAAGAAAACAGAAACCATCCTGGGCTGTACCCATCTTCCTGCTACCCGATCCCCACCCCAATCGATCCCCACCACCATGCCCACCTGATCCCTGCCCCTACCTCCTCTGAACTGCATTCCCCTGATCCCCACCCCGACCTGATCCCCCCATCTCCACCCCAATCCATCCCCACCCTAACCTGATCCCCACTACCCCAGCTCCACCCTCCCTGATCCATATGCACTCTCCATTCACAACCTCTCCAATCCATACCCCCGATCCACCCATGCCCCTAATCCACCCCAAAAACCATTGCTATTGAGTCTATTCCAACTCACAGCGCCCCTAGAGGACAGAGTAGAACTGCCCCACATGGTTTTCAAGGTTGTTAGTCTTCACGGAAGCAAAGCCCAAACCACACCCACTGCTGTGGAGTCGATTCTGACCCATAGCGCCCCTAGAGGACAGAGTGGAATTGCCCCCCAGGGTTTCCAAGGTTCAGTCTTCCTGGAAGCCATACAGAGCAGGACTGTCATAGATTTTTGCTGCAAAACGGCTGGTGGGTTCCAATTGCCAACTTTTGGTAAGCAGAGAATACGTAACCACTGTGCCACCAGAGCTCCTACTGAATCCACAGCCTCACCTAATTTGCACCTCCATCTGATCCACCCCCCCATTCCCCTTTCCCTCCCTCCGATCCCCTCCCCCTTCTATAGGACCTCGGGCCTCATGTCAGCCCCACCCCCACCATCTCATCTCAAATTGGCTCCAACATCCCTCCACCAGAACCTCTCGAGGAGTCACCTATGTATACAGGTGGTGACTCCAGTCTCCTTGCAACCCGCTTCGCCTTTTGACCTCCACAGCACAGGCCATCCATAACTTGCCTTATGGCCCAACCCAGCAGCCACTGCCTTCACTGTACCCAGCTCTCAGGTGTGGCTGACTTGGCAGTCTGTCCCGTGCCCCCAGCAAAGCAACGACCCGCCCTCGCACCTCATTTTGCCACGGGATGGGCACGGAGCCTGTGGAAAACTTGGAGTAGAAGTCGTCATCCGTGTGGTCCAGGTTGACTCCCTTCACGGTGGAGAACTGCTCAATGTCCAGCACGTCCTTACAGTACACGGCGCGGGGCTGCGGCCAGACAGAGGCACGGGGCTGGGTCACATGGGCGTCCCTGGGCTGGGCCCCACAGGTCCAGCACAGCCTGACGCTGTCCCCCCAGAGCCTGAGATACACCCTCAGATCGCCAAGGACACCCCCAGCTGAGATGTAACAAGAACTCGAGGTGTCTGGACTCCGTGCCCAGTGCCCATTCCTCTTTGCTACCCACAGGGCACCCCAGGTCCTCCAGGGGCTGTGGCAGGATGCCGGCCTAACGGAAAGACGGGACCCCCCTTCTAAGCTCACACACCTCCATACCTCTGGGGATCCTCACCCCCTGCCAGATGGTGTTACCCTAAAGCCCATCTGAGAAGCCTTTAGTGGTAAACCAAAAAACCAAACCCACTGTCATTGAGTCAGATCCGACTCATAGTGACCCCTCCTTGGGTTTCCGAGGCGGCATCACTACGGAAGTAGATTGCCCCATCTTCCTTCCGAAGAGTGGCTGGGGGTTTGAACCGCCAGCCTTCTGGTTAGTAGTCAAGTGCCTCAGGTACTGCGCCACCAGGGCTCCTGCTAACTGAAAGGTGGTCAGTTCCAATCGCCCAGTTTCCCAGGAGAAGGCCCTGGCCATCTGCTCTCGCAGGCTACATTCCAGGAAGGTGGTCAGTTCCAATCGCCCAGTTTCCCAGGAGAAGGCCCTGGCCATCTGCTCTCGCAGGCTACATTCCAGGAACCCCCTGGGGCAGTTCTGCTTTGTCACATGGCGTGGCTCTGAGAAGAAATTGACCCAACGGCACCCACCAAGGGAGCCCATCTAGTCAGGGAGGCGGCCAGGTCTCCAAAGTCATTTCTATGGGCTGGCCCCTATGTGGGGCCTCTGGCTGTTCCTCCATAGAGGGGCCTCTGCCTTGAGGGGAAACACAGCCAAGGGGGGCATCCCGGGAGGCCCTCAGGCCCCTCAGTGGAGGGCAGTGGGGGGTAGTGGATTGGCACCTGGGCTGGCATCTCCCTCTGGGGCTAAGGAACTTTCGGGGAGCCACCTAGCACCCCCAGGCCTCAGTTTCCTCACCTGCAAAATGGGGATAATAAAAGTACTGGCCCTTCACGGCCTGGCGCTGCAGCTGTGAGCGTATCATTATGGTGGTGATGTCTTTGATGGCACTCATCCATCCAGCACGGATGGTGGCTCTCTGCCAGGGCACACAGAGATGACTGGGCCAGTCTAGGATTGTGGTCTGGGGGCAGAAGCATCCCAGGGGCTGCGGGAGGGGGCGGGGTTCTGACCATGAGGCATTCACTGAGATGAGCACAGGGCCACCTCTGTCTCCTGCCCCTCATCCTTGGCCCAAGCACCCCCCCCAAGAAAACCAAACCAAACTCATTACTGTTGAGTTGATTTGACTCATAGTGACCCCTCCTTGGGTTTCCAAGGCAGTAAATCTTTAGGGAAGTAGATTGTCCAATGTTCCTTCCAAGGAATGGCTGGTGGGTTTGAACCACCAGCCTTCATGGTGTTAATAGTCAAATGCCTTAGGCACTAAGCCACCAGAGCTCCGGGTTCAAGGCTCAGTTCCGCTAATTCGAAGGTGGGAATGTTGGAATCTGTGGCCAGGGTGACGGAGCGTGAAGGATTCCAGCACTGGTCTCCCGCCGCCCTGCACTTTCTGGAGCTCTCCAGTCCTGCCTTGCGGGGCCCAAGGACCCGTGGGGGCTGATGATGGTGGCCAAGACTCCAGTATAACAGGCTGAGTGGGAAAACAGGACTTTGAGATTGGCCAGTACAAAATGAAATGGCACCCCTTCCTCAATGAGTTTCAAGACGCGACAGCAGAGGGTTAAACCCAGCGTGAGGCCCTTCTGAGCAGGGGGCTGGCAACGGTACAGCCACACACCCATGGCACTGCAGCGGAGCATTAAAGAAAAAGGGGGCGGGCAATAAGTATGTATTTTTAAACTCTAATAGAAAAACCTTTAACACTCTAAAATTCACCATTTCATGGTATCGCTGGTTGAGTTTTCTTTGGAATACACTCATTGTGGTTTAAAGAGTTTGTCGGGATAAGGAATATTACTAATCTGCTTGTGGTTTAGGGACGAGGTAATAGTCCCCAAGGTGGTCTGGGAACAGCCTGGTGGTTGCCCAAAAGGCTGGCCTGGCTCCTGGGGGTGCCTGGGCAGGGCAGGAGGGGCAGGTAGGGAGGGGAGGCAGGTGGGTGGAGAGTGGGGAGTAGGGGAGCACACAGGGGCTTTGTGCTCAATGCCTGCAACTTCCAACCTCTGTGTCTGGGTGCAAGGGTCCATGGGCCACAGAGGGCACTGTGGAGCTGAGGAAGGACAGTGGCCCGAGTGCTGCGTCTGCTCTGCACCCACCACACACAGTGCTTGGCTCTCCTACCTTGTCCTCCTGATGAGGGTCACACTTAGGGTGGCTGGCCGGCCAGGTTTCTGGGATGCTTGACTTCCAGTGCTAAAACAGACCTGGGCCCGGGCCTGGTGAGGCCAGCTGGTCACCCTACTTATAGAGCACCCTACATCACAAGCAGCTCCTCACAGAAGCCTCCCCTGGCCCCCAAGACTTCCCATTTGTTAACATCTCTCCTCAGACTGTAAATTCCACGAAGGAAACTGCATGTTTCGTTCAGCACAGGGTCCCCCAATGCCTGGCACAGGGCCTGAAACATGCTGGGAGATCAAGAGAGATTTCCTGCGTGAGTGACTAATCTGATCCTGTTACCACCACAGCAAAAGGCAACCCGGGATGGCAGACTGGGTTCCAGAACCTTTGCCCCAGCCTGGGTGCCCACCTCACATTAACCCAGTTATACTGTAACTACATCAAAACAACTTCACGTGGTCGTCGTGTGTGGTTGCTGGGAGGCCAACCAGTGGCCATTTCCATGTTGTTGTTGTTATGTGCCTTTGAGTTGGACCTGACTCATAGCGACCCCTCCAAGGCAGTATCACTAGGTCCGAGGAGTGGCTGGTGGGTTTGAACTGCCAGCCTTCTGGTTAGCAGTCAAGTGCCTTAGGCACTATGCTACCAGAGCTCCCAGCCATTCCCATTGTTATGTTATGTGCTGTGGAGTCGGCCCGACTCATAGTGACCCCTCCTTGGGTTTCCGAGGCAGTATCACTACAGAAGTAGGATTGCCCAGCCTTCCTTCCGAGGAGTGGCTGGTGGGTTTGCACCAGCCTTCTGGTTAGCAGTCAAGTGCTTTAACCACTATGCTACCAGAGCTCCCAGCCATTCCCATAGGCCTCAGCAAACACACAAACGCCCAGCTGGTGGCATTTCCTGTAACACAGAGGCTCTCAACCCTGGCCCACTTTAATGTCACCTGCCTTTTAGAAATCCCAAACCCCACGCAGCACCCAACCCTGAGGCTCAACTTTCAGCCAAACAATAGGCCCATGAGCTGAACAATGACACCAGGGAGGTACACACTCCTTAGAACAATTAACTATAGGAGCTCTAAAGGGCAGCATTTGCCCAGGGACAGCTGCTCAGAAGGCAGGAAGGGACAGGAGAGAAGGACGAAGGGGAAGGGGACACAGGGAGGAAGTGGGAGCGCTGTTACTTTGTGGGGACTGCAGTCAAGGTCATGAAACCAATTGCTTTGTAAACCTCCACCCAAATCAAAATGAAAAGTTAAAAAAGTGCTGACGCCCAGCCTTGCCCAGATCAGTGACATCAGAGTCTCGGGGCCGGGCCCAGGTTGCTATTGTTGAATGCTCCCCAGATGATTCCAAGGTGCAGCCAGAGAGCAGATTCTGTGATCCACATTCCCCCCACCATCAGTTGAAGTCTCCCTAGAGGTCAAGTTTGTAGGATCCAAAGACATTTTATATGTCCAACAGCTCCTTCCTTCTCCCACAAAGCACGATCTGGTGAGCCCCCCAGCCCTGACGCTGGAGCTGGCAGATGGGGTCAGGGGTGTGGATGCACGGACACTGCTCAGCACGCAGCAGGGCCTGAGGCTCCCCAAACCTGCAGCTGCCCTCCTGCCCTGCCCCGGGTGACTGGGGCCTCTCCCCTGCGACGGGCGCCAGAGTAACGAGGACTGGAAAACATCTACAAACAGTTCAGAGGGAGAGAAATGAGAAAGCCCTGGTCGGTAGTGTGTGCCAGTTCCCGTGGTGTAAATACTGTATCGTGGTTGATTTCAAGCCACCGCATGAAGTTACCGAACAGGAGTTAGGAAGAGGTGTACTAGTCACTTCTTCCAAGGGGAAACAAGCCAGCTTCAGAACACGTCTGCTCCCACGGCCTCGACAAGAGGAGCCACAAGCTGGCCTTCCTGGTGAGGGACTCCTTGGACTTGCACAGTGCAGGCCCGGAGCGCCGCACCTGACAAGGACTCTTGCAGCAGCAAAGACCGTGGGGCACGAGCCTGCCCTGCTTCCCCTGGTCTGGCTCCTTTGAGCCTGTGCTTCACAGACCACTTAGGGGACTGTCAATGGCAACTGGGACTTAACTGGCTTCCCACCTCACACGCTGACTTGGGGACCTCAGCCCTGGGGAAGATGTGACTGTATCGTGAGCACTGGGTGCTGCTGGGGCCTCGCCTTGTTCATCACTGTACCCCTGGGCCCGGACTGGGGCATAGCACGGACAGGAGGCCCTCTACACACGCTGGTTAGACTGAACAGCTGGGTCCCATGCTCTGGAAAGCTTCCCAGTCAGTCTTAGAGCACTCTTCAAGTCCCTGGACAGTGGCAAGAATGGGTATCACTAACCCCATCACACAGGCGAGGAAACAGGATGAGAGGAAGGATTTGCCCACATTGCCCAGGCCTGGACAAGCACGCAAGTCTCCAGGTGACCAGAGTGGGACTCCCAGGCTCACCTCCGGCCTGCACTGCCTGGCATCAAGGTTAATTGCAACGTCCGGCAGGGAGTGGCCAGGAGGTAAGGAGGCATGGGCACTCTGCGCCCCATGAAGACAGCAGGTGCCACACACCCTCACATTAGCTGTTGAATGGAGGGACAGCTCTGGGAGAAGGCTGCTGGGAAGAGTGGCACGGGACATTGGACACATAGAACTGGCAATGGGAAGGTTACTCACATCTGGAACAAAGGGAGGGTCCAACATCCCAGCTTCCAAGCGCTTGAAATTCATGTTCCTGAAGAAGGGGTGTCTCTTGACTTCTGCGGCCCCCTCCTGCTGGCAGCCCAGTCTCTGCGTTGCATCTTTGGTGAGCAGCTGTGATGGAGAGACAGGGCCCACGTGGCCTTGGAGTGCCTGTGGTCATCTCCCTTTCACACGTGTCTGTCCCTGAGCCCTCCCCACCTCTGCCCACTGCAATATCTGCACCTCCGCCAGGTGCCAACGGCCACTGCTAAGGCCTCACATCCCCAGGTTGCCGTCCGTGACCTTTTGTGCTCTGTTGCTGCCTGCTCACGGTGCAGTTAGATGCCTGTGGCCCCCAGGGAGCAGACATGTTGTTTGTTTCTTCCTGTGACCAGACAGCAGGGCCTGGCACACGGTGGGGACCATCCAGGTTAGTGGAATGTGTGGACGGAAAAGCATTACCTCTTCTGCTGCAGGTGAGCAACAAGGGGCAGGAGCTCGTCTGTGGGCCTCTCTCAGTCACTTCCTCAACCAGCAAGTACACTGGAGACTAGAAGCTACTGGGCAGGAGCCCTGGTAGCACAAAGGTTATGTGCCCAGAGCTAACTGAAAGGCTGGCAGTTCAAACCCACCCAGTGGTTCCACGTGAGTAAGACCTGATAATCTCCCGTACAGGTTGCAGAAAACACTGTGGGCTGCTCTCTATCAATGGAGGTGCTGAGTCAAAAACGGACTTGATGGCATCGCCAGGACAGCCTAGTGGTGCAAACCCTGCCGATGAGGGGCTTGGCCCAGAGCTGTGGCATTTTGGGGGCCCAGACACGGCACCCTGGGGCAGTGGCACTCAAGTGGGCTCCAGCTTCACAGAGAAGGGCCAGTGAGTTGAGTCCTGCAAGCTGGGCTTTCTGGAGGCGGGAGGGACAGGCACTCAGGAGGAGGGATGGTAAGTGCTACAACAGTGGGGAGGCCCCTAGGCGTGTTTTGGGGACACCATGTCTTCGAGTCAACCTGACGAATGAGGGTGTGGGGTCTGTCAGTGTGAAGGAGCTGGTGGAGGAGAGGTGGGGGAGGCCCTGAAGGCCAGGTCAGGACATGGGCTGTGGATCTGGGGGCAGTGGGAGCCAGGGATGGTTGGGCTGACGATGTCCTCCTCAGAATCCTGAGGCAGGAAGGTGAGTGGGGGGAAGAGGCTCCACGCGCAGGAGAGACAGGGAGATAGAGGCAGGAGGGAGCAGACGGGCAGTCACTGATGAAGGGGGAGGGCAGCCGGGTGGCTACAGGGCTCTGCCCCCTACACCCCCAGTGTGCTGGCCACGTGGGTCTTTTCCCCCTTCCCCCCTCAGCACTGTAGACAGCTGGTGCCTACTGTTTGCCGTTACACTAAAATCAAGGTGGGAGTGCTGCGCCCTGAGGCGGTCCAGGTGCTGCTTCACCCACACCCTTGGTGTGCCGTGGGGCATATTCATATTGCATACAGGCTTGCATGGGCAGCCCTGTGTTGGGCTGGGGGCAGTGGGGAGCAGAGCAGTCGGGCTGCCTCCAGGAGGTCAGGCTGGAGGGGAATCTGCACAGATTACTGTCAAATCACAGTGGGGACAAATGCCAGATAGGGGCCGTGGGAGCAGAACAAAGCATGATGAGAGAGGACAGGCAGGTCAGGGAAGGCTCCCTGGAGGAGGTGATGCCTGGGGGTGGTCTGGAGTGGGCATCTGAGTAAACCAGGCAGAAGAGGGGTGAGGAGTATTTCTAGGAGTGAAGAGGCCTTGGGGAGTGAAAGGGAGATGTGGGGGAGAGGTGGGTAGAGGCCAGGCAAAGCTACCTTCCAGAAGCCATGAGAAGGCTTTTCCCACCCTGGTCCCTGGGACAGTTACTGGCGGTTGTACTTCCCCACATGGGCAGCAGGAGGCGCTGGAGCAGGGAGGGTAGATTTTATGGCCTCTGAGGGGCTTGGGTTGGGGAGGGCTGGTGACCGTTTATCCCAATCATCTGACCAGCTGGGGGTCTTCTGGGAATGACAAACTGAGCGGGCCCCAAGAGGCCTGGGCCCTTGGAGAAATGAGGAGATACCTCTCCAGGACCCAGGTGTCCTTGTTTCCTTCTGCAGGGCTTCCTCTGGGAAGGGGCCCACAGGAGCCAGCAGAGCTTATAGCCAAGCTGCTTCCACTCAAGGGCACCCCCCAACTCCTCTGCACAAGCAGGAATCAAAGGCAGGGTGCAAGCGCCAACCCAACCCGTTATTGTCGCGTCGATTCCAACTCATACTGCTGCCTGTTCCACAGGTGAGTGGTGCCCACACCAGAAGCAGGAGGGAGAGATGGTATGAGCTGGGGCAGGGGGGCAGGCAGGGACAGCTGGCTTCCTGGAGGAGGAGGACTCAGAGATAGCAGAGGGCTGGGGCCGGGGAGTAGGACAGAGGGAGTGCGGGTGGGCCTGGAGGGCAGTGGGGCTGGGGGGCTGGGCCTGGACACGGGGGCACTGGGCATAAAGAGTGAGTTACCAAAGCCCAGGGGCGGGGGAGGGGGCAACACTCGTCTGTCAGTCTGTTGTACTGTGATGGTTTGTGTGTTGCTGTGAGGCTGGAGGCCACACCACCATTTTTCCATATACCGGTCCGGTCAATTATGATGGACAGGTTTCAGCAGAGCTTCCGTAAAACAGACTAGGAAGAAGTATGGGGCCATCCATTTCTGAAACAATTGGCCATGGGAAACTTAATGAATAGCAGAGAAACGCTGTCTGATACACACTGGAAGAGGAGCCCCTCAGGTCACAAGGCACTCAGAATATGACTGAGGAAGAGCTGTCTCCTCTAAACCAAACTCACTGCCGTTGAGTCAAATCTGACTCATAGCGACCCCTCCTTGGGTTTCCCAGACAGTATCACTACGAAAGTAGATTACCCAGCCTTCCTTCCGAGGAGTGGCTGGTGGGTTTGAACCGCCAGCCTTCTGGTTAGCAGTCAAATGCCTTAGGCACTACACCACCAGAGCTCCCTCAAAGTAGAGTGGACCTTAATGACGTGCATGGAGTAAAGCTTTCAGGACCTTCATTTGCTGGTGGGGCGTGACTCAAAATGGGAAGAAACAGCTGCAGAAATCACGAATAATCGGAACACGGAATGTGTAAAGTATGAGTCTAGGATAATTGGAATTGTCAAAAATGAAATGGAATGCATAGAGACCAATACCCTAAGCATTAGTGAGCTGAAATGCACTAGTATCGGCCACGCTGAATCAGACAACCATGCCGGGAATGACAAATTGAAGGGGAATGGTGTGGCATTCATCATCTAAAAGAACACTTCAAGGTCTGTCCTGAAGTACAACGCTGTCAGTGTTAGGGTAACATCCATACGCCTACAAGGAAGAGCAGTTAATGCAATGACTTCAAATTTACGCACCAACCACCACAGCTAAAGATGAAACCGCAAGGACTGTGATGATGGTGCAGGACCGGGCGGTGTGCCAACGTGATGGCACCTAACAACAACAGGGGCTGGGGGAGGGCTGTGGCTGCCAAGATGGAAGGAGGGGACGTCTGGGGCCAGAGACTGCTTTCCGTATTGTTTGTGGAGCGGCCTTCTTAAGCAGGCAGGCCTGGAGCTGCTGGCCCCCAGGTCAGCTCAGAGCCTGGGAAACAGTCCCACGGCCCCAGGCCTCCTTTATAGAAGACATCTGTCCTAAGCTGGCATCGGAGGACGGGCGGGGCAGACACGCCTGGTGGCTGCACCAGAGAGCAAGAGCTCCGGTTAAGGCACAGAGAAGGCCCAAGATCAGGATTCCAAGACCCCAGGGTTGTTTGTAAGAGAAGACAGGGCAACACTGGAGGGCCGTGGCATTTGGGCACAAACAGCTTCCACCAAAGAAATGTGACAGGGACATGGGTTTGAAGCTTTGCACCCATGGGTCCAGGAGTGCCCCGCACAGCAGGCTCGGCTGCCGCCTTTCCTAAGTGGCCACCAGGAGGCGGCAGAGGGCCAACAGCACTGGCCCTGGCTGCAGCTGGGAATCCCCGCCAAAAAGCCAGGAGCCAAGGGTGGATGGCTGAGGTGCTCTCCCACTCCCCATCCTCTCAGCACGCCCTGTGTCCTGCTGGGGTCTCTCAAGACCTGCTTCTCTAATTCCTGACCCTGACCTGGGGCCAGCTGGTGATTCTGTGACCGTAACTGTCTGACCTCTACTTCTATCCCTTGTCCAGTGTGGCCACACAGACACCTTGCCACTGAATAGGACACAACCAAGTGTTTGTCAGCCTCCTGGCTTTCACAAATCCCCAGGCCCCGCCTCTCCCCTTAGCTGAGCTTTGCCGCATGGTCCCTCCTGTGCCCCATCCGGCTCTGCCTGTGGGCACCATCCAGTTTCTTTGAGGCCCCAGGAGTGCAGGTAGGTACCTGCTGCGTGGCTGCCCGGGGGGGGGGCTTGTGGTTGGGTGTGTGTCAGTGACCCTCCCTCAGCATCTCTCACACCTGTAAAGGACATATGTGTCCTTCCTTTGCAGTTGGAAACCCTTCCTCCCATGGCTACTGTGACGTGAGAGTGAGCTGGGAGGAGGAAGTGGTGGAGCAGAGTGAACGGCCACCACTGGGGAGGGCCCAGGCAATGCAGCCTGAGGTTTTCTGGAAGCAGAAGCTTTGTGGCTTAAATCAACTCCCTGGGCTGCACTTTCTGAAACTCCAGCCTGGGTAGTTTATGTGCACGGTGGAGCCAGCCCAGGGCCCCTGTGAATTCAGACAGGTGGGGAGAAGACAGCCCCTTACCAGGTGCATCCTGCCCCTCACCCACCTGGTGCTCCAGGTGCGGCCAGGTGGAGGGAGGGCAAGTCTGGGGCTCAAGCCACTTCCCCTTCCTGTCTGCACGCGGCTGCAATGGAGGGCAGCTGCCTGCCAAGCGGCAGCACAGCTGTGCCCGGTACCAGGGGAAAAGGGTCCCGTAGTGTCCTGGGTGGGTACACAGGAGCCTGAGAGCCAGGCAGGGATGGGGAGTGGCTGTCTCCCACAAAGCTACAGCTCTTCTTCCCAGGCAGAGTCAGAGGGCCTGCTCCTGGGTGGGCCCGGTGGGTAGGTGATGGTGGTGGTCCAGGGTGGTCCTCACTCCCAGCTCTAACAGTCTCGATGACTCCTGTCACTCCCTCTGCTACCTGGCTTCCTATTTGGCCTGTCACCCAGCCCGTGTGCCCTGTTTGTGGCCAGGTCAAATCTCACAGCCCACTGACACTGGCATCAAGTTTAGTGGATGGAAAACTTGGTTATAAGATGTTCAAAGGCTGTGACAATATCACACTCACCACAGCCCTGGGATCCATCCAGAGATGGAGGGACCAGAGGCCCGAGGTCAAGGGCAGGGGTCTGCCCCAAGGGTCCCTAGCATCTTAGGGAACAGCTCTTCTCTACCCTGACTCCCCCAACCAAGCCTGCTGGAGAGGAGGCCATTTCCCACTGTCCACCTTAGCTCCTTGGTCACAGGGCCCCCTGCCTCCCACCTTTGTCCTAGGCTTTCTTTTGGAAGCCTTTGATGACCACCCTGCCCACTGCACGAGCCTGGGCTCCTTTGGCTTGGCGATTCACCATCTAGCCCAAGTGTGTCCTGACCCTGGTTTCTGGCTGGATACCCAACCGCAGGGCAACATCTGACTCACTGGACTCACCATCTTGCAGATAGACTTGGCCTCTTCAGAGAACTTGTGGGAGTAAGCCTCCTCGGTCTCCAGGACCCGGCGGTCCACCTCCTCCCGCTTCACCTTCTCCTTGCGGCCTCGGAAGGGCGACTGGCCCTCTATCATCTCGTAGATGAGGCAGCCCAGGCCCCAGTAGTCGGGGCTCAGGCCGTACCTCTGGTTGTTCAGGACCTCTGGAGCTGGGGCAGAGCAGGGGTGCACGGCAGAAGTGAGAGAAAACTGGGAGTAGGACAGAACCTGGGCACACGGGCCAGGGTTGCTCCATATGGCCAGGGCACTCATCCTCCTGCTAACTCCTACCCATTAATTATTATAAATACCACCTCCTCCAGGAAGCCTGCTCTGATCGCTATACTCTGTGTCCCCAAAGGACTCTGTGACTTCAGAACCCTGACCACAGTGGGTGGAAATGGCCTGCTGCTGGAACCTGAGCTGCCTTATCCATATTGAGTTCCTGGCACACAGCAGGTGTTGGACATGCATTTGTTTCAGGGAATGAAGAAGGTGTGTCCACCCAAAGGAGATAACTTTAAACATATCTAGAATTCCCAGTCTCTACATATGGCTCCCGCCCCTACTTTAAGCACAAAAGTGCAAAAAAGATGAATTCCATCGACAGGCACACACATCTGGAAGCCACCCAGCTGCACGTGCTGGTCGGCACACAGCCAAGGATGTGCAGCCAGATGCATGCACATGCGTGTGCAGAAGGGGACAGATGCAAGCACAGTAGGTGCACATGCATCCTGCAGGTGGATACCTGATACTATGTACTCATCTCTGTCTGTCCATATCTGTGAACCTGTCTCTGCATGTATCTATCTAGGTATCGCTCTCTATCATCTAGAACTCTGGTGGAGCAGTGGGGATGCACTGGGCTGCTAACCAAAAGGTCACCAGCTGCTCTGTGGGAGAAAGAGGAAACCTGCTTTCATAGAGATTTACAGCCTTGGAAACCCCATGGGGGCAGTTCTACTCTGTCCTCCGGGGTTGCTGTGAGTCAGAATTGACCAGATGGCAGTGGTTTTGGTTTCTGGGTTATCTATCATCGATTCATCTACTGCCTACCTATTTATCCAACCATTCATCCGTCATCTACCTGTCGGCATTCATACCGGCAAACACACACTCACAGACTCACAGCCCCAATGTCATGAACCTGGACAGTACCTCCCAGCATCAGACACAGAACCCAGTTCAGCTGCACTGGCGCTGGCCTGGCCGGGGGCAATAGAGGGCTCTCTCTGGGTCCCCTGGGTGAGCGAGGGCATGCAAGCTGTGCAAGGGGAAGCCCAGTGCCGTCCTCAGTTAGAAGGGGGGCTCTGGGGGACCAGACTTGAGCTCTGGGCTCTTCCCTGCTGTCCCAGGATGACGGTCTCGGGCAGCTGGAGAAGGACGGGTGGGAGCCCACGGCTGGTCCCTCCTTAGTGTCATGCTCAGTGGCACAGCCAGCAGTGCTCTCTTCTCCTCCCTGAGCACATTCCCAGGGCCTCCCTCCTCTCGGGGGTTCCTGAGGGGCTGCCCACTGGACCACTTCTTTCATGTGGTCTCCCTGAGCATTGTTGTATCCACACCTGTCCTCTGACCCTGGAGAGGGGCCTGGCTTTGAGACACAGGGGGCAGGGGGCTGGGGGCTGCAGAGAGCTTTGTCTAGTCCAGCCACACCCTGGGGCCCCTTCACTCCACCCTGACCTGGCTACGACCTCCCACTGCATGAATCCATGGGAGACCATGACCCTAATTCTGATGGGGGTCACACAAAGAGAGGTGAGGGGAGGGGACTCGGGAGGCTCAGTGTGCGAATGTGTGGGCCCCACTGGCACTTACCCATGTAGCCCACGGTGCCCACCCGGCCTCGGATAAGGTCTCCCTCGGGGATCTTCACGGCCAGGCCCAGGTCTGAGATCCGAATGTGGCCTGAAGGGAGAGCAGGGTCGGTGGGGTCCGTGGGACGGGCCTGTGGCTGTCTGGCCCTCTCTGAGCAGTGCCTTGCTGTGGTGACCTTAGGCCAGGCACTCAGCCTCTCTGAACCTCAGGATTTCCATCTGAACAATGGAGACCGTGATGCTAATCTGCTATCTCTGGGTGCCTGTAAGACCTTCGGGGGCCCAGGTGTTGGAGAGTACGGCAAGTCATTCCTTTTTAGGCACAAAACATGAAGTCCCAGGATTCCTGGATTTGCCTGGACTTTGGCTGACCTGCCTCATAAAATGCCCTAAGGGGCTTCTTGGAAGGCTGAGGTCATGAAGTTGAAGTCTTGCCCTGATTCTGGGACTGCTTCCTGGGAAAGTGTGGGGTGCTCCTGATGTTTCACACAACTTGCTTGGGGAGCGGCTCCCTGCCCTGCTGGTCTTTAGGGCTGTTTGTTTCTTCCCTTTAGAAGCAAGAAAGGAGCTGTCTGGGCTGGGCCTGGTGCGGCTTGGGGGATGGAACTGGGGTCCACAGTCTGATGCTGACCCCAGAAGCTGAGAGGCCACTGTGCTGAGGTGGGGTCATGTCACGTTCTACCCTTTCGCTCCCTGCCTGTAGGTGCCAAAGCCCCCACCAGACCAGCCTCAGCAGGGCCCAGGTCCAGCAACCCCTGCTGGGCTGGAGTTGCAGGGGTTTCTCAGCTCACCGGGTCCTTGACAAAGGCAGGAAAGGGGAGGATGGGATGTGAGCCATTAGTGGTGGGCACTGAGAGCAGCAGGGATCAAGGGCCCCATGTGGGCTTGGGGCTCATTCACAGAGGGGCGGTAAGCCCTGGGTCCGCTCTGCCTGCTCCCCTCACGGGAGGCATCACCCATAAACCTCTCCCAGGTCCAAGGACCCGCCTCTCTCTTTCCGCCTTTTTCCACTTGGTGCCACCTGGCAACTGGGACATTGGTGGGGAGCAGCCATGTCCCTGATATTGCTGGGCACCCCTGGTGAGTTGGCTCCTCCAAGCCTCAGCCTTGATATCTGTAAAATGGGCCCAGTGCTAGCAACTCCACCCTTTCTGGGAGTGTGAACATCCTGTGAGATAAAAGATGTAAAACCCTCCCCGAGGTGAGAGGCTAAGGACCCAGGCAGGGTTATCGTTGTGTTTAACACCAGCCCCCACCCCCTTCTAGAGAAATAACCATGATAACGCATGAATACCAATGCCAGATGCGTTTGCAGTTGGCCACGGGAAACAATTTCCCTCACACTGTCTCGTAGGGCCCCCCCCGCCGAAGCAGGCAGGGCAGGGCCCGTGGTTTCCACTTTACACACAAGGAAGATGGGATGCAGAGAAAACGTTCCAAAGTTAAGTGACCTGCCCACTGTTTTCGAAACTATGGACTCCTTCTCTCTTTTCGCCGGGCCACACTGACTGTCCACACTGACGGCTCCACCCAGGAGAGCAAGACTGAGGAGAAGGCATGGAGCTGCTGCCCCCCGCCCCGTGTCCCACAGCAGTCTCCTGTGTCGTTGTCCCTCAGGCTCTGGGGACCTTGGTGCCCTAGGGTTGTGACGCTCACCTCAGTTACGGACTAGGGAAAGGGTGTCCCGAGCGGTTCCCCTACTTACCATAATCATCTAACAGGATATTCTCAGGTTTCAGATCTCTGAAAGGGAAAGACAGCAAGCATCTGAGTGGGGGCTCTGGGCGGCCAGGACACGGGCGTCTGGGTGACACCGTGGGACAAACAGGCCTGAGCAACCACAGGGTGTTTCCTGCCTACCTCTTGGCCCAGGCTGCCTGGTCCCTCTGGGTCGGGGCAGGCTCCAGCCAATGTCCCTCCTTCCAGTAGTTCACTAAATAGATGCTGCCATTTGCCGAAAGTGGCTCTGACCCTGGAGGTTACCGGGGAAGGTAAGGGCCAGTCCTGGCAACAGTCCAGGGTCCTGGGGTGGCACAAGTGGTTTGCAACCGGCTGCTAAACTAAAGGTTGTCAGTTCGAACCCACCGGTGGCACTAAAGGAGAAAACCCTGGTGATGGGCCCCGTAAAGGTACCAGCCGAGAAACTCCTAGGAGTAGTCCCGCTCTGTACCATGCAGGGTCGCCAGGCCTTAGAATCAACTCCATGGCAGCGGGTTTGGTTTTCTGGTTTTGGCACCAGTCCACATGTCTGCCTTCTGTGGTGATAAACCTCTACTAGACTGGGAAGACCCTGGAGTTTCAGGGTGGGCATGAAGAAAGAGAAATGATTGCAAACAAAATACCAGCTGAAAAACTGGGAGCAGAGAACTGGGTGAGGAGGAGGCCACTCCCGGGAGCAATACCCCCTTTGGTACAGGGACCCCAGGGGAGTGGCATCCCCACCCCAGTTCCGGCTGTGGTCTGGGAGAAAGCGTGGCCCGAAGGCACAGCTCCAGGTGTGGGCGGCTTCACCCCCCGACGTCTCCCTTGCAGTCTGGAGAGAAGGCGGTGGGCCGGCAGAAGAGTTTGGCTTTACCCACCAGCCTCTTCTCCGAAAGGAAGGACAGCCAGGAGGATGGTGCTGCAGCTCTGACAGCCGCCGGCAGAGGAGCACAGGGCAACCCCACGGCAGCTGCAGTGCGGACCAAATGGCTTTGTTTATTTAACTGATGGCAGCTGTCCTCGTGGGAAATGGTTAACACACCCAAATCCAGTGGGGCAGCCTCAGAGCGTGATGATTGGGATCGGTGTAGTAGTTACTTCTTCTTTTCCTTTTTTTTTTTTTTTTGCTTTTATTGTGGTGAAAACACACACAAGACATTCGCAAAGTAGTTTTACAAAATACTTTTGTTGTTGTTAAACTGCATTCCTTTGATGTAATAACAGTGCCAAATAAGGACAAGAGCTAGCATCTCAAGCCAGTACCCGCCCCCCCGTGGAAGGACAGTTCACTAGTGGGTGCTGGACAGAGCCCACACCACGGGGGAGGCCAGGAGGAGGCATCGTGGCTCCCGTCCTCCCCAGAAGAGGACTTGGAGGGCCTTTGAAAAAAAAAAATCTTTATTATTTTTTTTAAAGTAAAAAGCAATCAAGGGGAGGATTCGTTTTTTAACCTTTAGGGAAATGTTTCTAACTTGCTTTTCACTTGAATAAAAACAAAGCACAAACATAACTGGGGAGATGGTGGGTGGGGGGAGGGAATGTCATGAAGACCATTCCTTGTTTTCAAAACCTTCCTGGTCTCAGAATAATCCCACCAAGAGCTCCAGCTCAAAGGCCTTCCCACTGGGGCCCTGGGGGCTTCCCTGCAGGTCCCCAGGGCCAACGGTTTTGAGGGTGTGAATTTCCAGATGTGGAACAGCCTGTTCTGTCCTGGAGCCGTGGGAGCTCCCTCCCACCTGCCCTTTGGCAACAGCTCTTCTCCCAATTTTAGGAGAAGCAGCTTCTCCCAAATGCTACTGCAGTATGCTGGTCCCGGGTATCAAACCTGAGGATCCAAAGGGCCAATCAGGAGGGTCTAGCAATGGCAGCTCCCAGAGGAAATTACTTTAACATCTAGAGCCTTACCGTCCAGGGAAATTCTAAAAATCTTATGCATATCTATCTATCTGTCTGTGTATCCATCCATCCATCCATCCATCCATCCATCCATCTATCCATCACCTCCACCACCTGCTGTCAGTCTGCTGTACTGTGGTGGTTGATGACAGGGTCACCCATGGCGGAATGGGTTCAGCAGAGCTTCCAGACTAACACAGACGAGGAAAGAAGGCCTGATGACCTCCTTCTGAAGAACCAGCCAGTGAGAACCCCGTGGAGCCCAGATCTCCTGGGACACACGTGGGTCACCTGAGTCGGAGCTGACTCCACGGCAGCTGGTTTTGGGGACATTTCAAAGTGCGGTGTCAGTATTTCAAAATACTGGTATTTACCGCTATTTATACATGCCATGAAATATTTCAAATATCTACTTAAAAAGTGTGAGGGGGTCACACGCTTTTTCAAAATTCTTTGAGGGTTGTCAGAAAAGTTTGAAGACCTCTGTTCACGGAATCTGGACACCTGGTCCTGCAAAGCCCAGGCCCCATGGGACTGAGGTAAGTGAGGACAAAGGGTGAAGGGGCTGGGGTTGGGGGTGGCCGAGTTCTTCCTGGTCCCGATCATGGCCACCAGCTCCAATGAGCTTCCCCAGTGCTGGCTGGAGGGAATAGTGGTACTGGCCTTTCCTCATCAACTTGCAGTCCATCTGGGGAACGTCACATCACATCCTTCTCTTCCCCATACTTTGGAGGCCAGAGAACACTGACTGGAGAGTGGCCCACCTCACTTATCTGTGCCCAGGACCCCTGAGACTCCCAGGTGGGGGTTGTCTATCTAATGCACACACCTTCACCTGCAATGACCAGGCCTTGATTCCTGGGGTGAGCACAGCCACCCACGCGAGAATGAGAAGGGACAGCCCACCCTTCTCACTAGGTGGGCACGGCCAGTGGACAAGCACCACTCACCTATAGACGGTGTTCTCTCGGTGGAGGTCTCCCAAGCCACACAGGATCTCTGCTGCGTAGAACAAGGCTCGCTCCTCCTCAAAGCCAGGGTTGCCCATGTTGTAGATGTGGAACTTCAGGTCACCCCCATTCATGATGGTCAGAACCAAGCACAGTGCGTCCTTGGTCTCATAGGCGTAGGCCAGGTTGACCTGGGAGCACAGGAGGAGCACCGCGGTAAGAAAGATGACCAGCGGCAACCCACTTCCTCTTTTCTTCCCGGGGATCTTTGAAGCCGGGCAGGGGTGGGTGTGGTGTGCTGGAGGCACCACAGAAGCTTCACACCACTCCCCTGGAGCCAACTGGCCTCATGGTGACCCTGCCTGCCGTCCCTCTTGGCTGATGAAGGAGGATTCGTACCTAAGTCCTTACACATCAGTGGTTGCAGGTGAGGCAAAGGGGGTGGGGGCAGGCTAGTGCCTGCACTTCCAGGGCCTCTAGCAGCATGATGTCTGAGTTTTCACACCACAAATGCAAGGGCATCATCAGCTGCTTAAAACTGTATGTTGCCTTGTTGGTTGGGTAAGAGAAACAGGACCCAGATGCCCTCAGTTGCTGGGGGCTCCTCACTGCAGGGGTGAGTGGAAGCAGGCTAGGAAGTGCCTGTGTTATCTTTGGCTACTGAGATCTGGGGGTTAATTTGTTACCACAGCAGAGCCCTGCAGGGCTAACACAACATATGTACACAAAATGGCGCCTCACTAGGCTATTGGCACTTAGGTCCCTACCGTGATGAAACCAGGTTAGAGGTGTCTAGGGAACCAGGACTCCTTGGATGGCCCAGGGTGGCCTGGTTTTGTCCACCAAGTTCACAGGGTGGTCCTGGAGGACAGAGGCCTTGGTCTCACACACTGAGGGAGTCAGGCACTGGCCAGCTCTGTGACAGAACAAAGTCAGGCCCAACTGACCACAAGGGGTCTTCCACGGACGGAGTGTCCGCTGGCTTCCTGTAGCATCCTCCTCTCACTGGCATTGCACTTCCCTGAAGGATGGGGGCTGGGCATACTGGCTGTTACAGATTAAACTATGTCCCCTCAAAGTATGTGTGGGAATCCTAACCCCTAGACCTACAGATGCAGTCCTGTTTGGAAAAGGGTTTTATTTGTTTTGTTAACTAGATCATAGCTAAGTATAGTGAGTTCGAATCTATTCACTTCTGAGCTATGAAAAGAGCAATTAGACAGAGAAGCCCTCCCAGGTGGGGGCAGACAGATGCTATGTGAGAATCGTCCATAAGCCAAGGAACCAAGAACACCCAGGACTACCGACAAGGGAGGAATGGACAAGGCAGAGGCCCTGATTTGGACTTCCAGTCTTGTGAAACGTGAGAAAATGAGCTTCTGCCCTTTAAGCCATCTACCTGCATTCACCTGGAGCAACAGAGGAAGAGAAGGAAGATGGGGACTGTGTGGCTGACTGCCTTCATAAACAACTGCCTCCTCTGCCATGACACCAGAAGAATGGGATGATGCCTGGCTGCCATTACTAAACATTTTGATAAAAATTTCCATAGCAGAATCTTTATCAAAAGGGGGAAAATAAAGAACAGAATTTCAAAATCTCATGGATGCTAGATTTTCTGGAGCCATGGAGGCTGGATGAATCCTCAGAACTAGTGCCCTGAGATCATCTTTCAACCTTAAACAAAAAATGTCCCCTGAACTCTCTCTCTTTTTTTTTTTTTTTTTGTGATTTGGGTGAAGATTTACAGAGCCAATTCACTTTCCATCCCCTGAAATCTTAAAACCAAACAATAGTTAGACTGAACTAGTAAAGAATATCTGCCTTGGGCACTGTGCGCTTTGAAGACCTATCCATATGGGATCCAACTGACAAAAGCAACCTCAAATACTAGACTTCACCTTGGGGCAGTGAGGTGAGTTAGCAGGGAGAGCGAGGATGGTCGCAGAACTCAAAGAACGTCATCGCTGCCACTGGACTGTACAGAACTATCAAATTGGTGGATGTTTTGCTGTGTGCCAACAACATAATATACATGATTAAAAACCAAGTCTGTTCACTTGTATTTCTGCTGCAGTAGCAGTAGGCAACTGGGACACTGGGGCACCATCCCCTTTCCCAGGGAAGGATGCTCCTTCATCAGAGTAGTCTGCCACCGGCCCACCACTCACCACAAACTGACTGTTGACCTTCTCCAGGATCTGTTTCTCGTTGAGCGCCATGGACTCCCCTTTCCTCTTTTTGATCCTCTTCTTCTCCAGGCGCTTGCAGGCGTACATTTTACCTGTGGCTCGAACCTGGCAGGCACAGACCTGAGGAGCAAGAGAGAAGCCAAGGTCTTCAGGGTACTGTGTGTGTGTATGTGGGGGCCTGCCTGAAGCTAGCTGTCCAGGGTTGGGAGCTGATGGGACCAAAGGTACTCTCAGCCCTCAGGACCTGACCACGGACCACAGCCTTGGGTCTACCGCTGCCCTGGGCCTGCCCTCACAAGCTGCTCTCAGTGCCACCTTCCCTTCCCCTTAGAACAATCCTACTCTTGAAATTGAGGAACCTTCAAGAACATGAAGGCTGAACATGAAGGTTTGTTGAACACAGACGGTGAGATGACTGGCTGAGGTCTAACAGGCCATCCCCTGTCCAAGGCAACTGAATTTTCTCTGTCCCAAGCTTTCAGTCAAATGTAGCAGCACTAAGTGGGGACTTCCAAGCATTAGGTGGTAGTAGGAGAGGCTTGTTTTGGGGGTAGAGTAATGGCAGACCCCTGAGAACCCTGCCTTTATAATTCAGGGGAATAGGAGCCAGAGCAGTAGGGGTCTGGTCTCAGTCCTGCCTCTTACAGACTGTGTGATCCTGACTGGGTCATGTACCCATCTGGAACCCCAGCTTTCCTCATCCCGAAACAGGGAAAACGAGGCTTGCCTCAGTTCCTGGGAAGATCACAGAGAGTACAATGGAATCTTTAATCCCATGTAACAGCACATATTAACACCATCGTCCAGGAATGTGGTGGCCCACACAGCGGAGGGTGGCTCAACACCTCTCCCTCCTCACCTTAGACATAGCTAATGTTCACAAGGGAGCTCTGGTAGTGTAAAGCCTAAGGCACTTGACTGCTAACCAGAAGGCTGGCAGTTCAAACCCACCAGCCACGCCTTGGAAGGAAGGTTGGGCAATCTACTTCCGTAGTGATACTGCCTCGGAAACCCAAGGAGGGGTCGCTATGAGTCAGGTCCAACTCGACGGCACACAACAACAACAATGTTCACAAAGGTCTCTGACCCTAGCCTTCCTCACCACCTCCAGCCCTCCAAATACCCACATTATCTGGGAATATCCAAGGGTACCCGTGGCTGAGCCACTTGCTCAGGAAGCCCTTAGAGGAGCACTTCAGACCCATTCAGAAGACAGAAGAGGCAACCAGACTACCGGAACTTTCAGCTGAAAAGCGTAAATGCTCACTCACCTCTCCAAAGCCCCCTTTTCCTAGCACTCGGTACTGCCTAAAAGTGTTTTTGGTCACTGGTTGCCTGGAAAAAAAAGCAAGATTCAACATCGTCAAAACAGACAACTGCACCAATGAAAGTAGCTGATGGGAGGTACAAGTCTATGATCTCCAAAGTGGCCCAAGTCCCCCAGAAAGTGCAGCTACAAATAAGACCTTCAAGTGAGGATCCCGCCTGCTGCCTACCCTACAGATTTCAGCCTTTCCAGCCCCTTCAATTATGGGAGCCAATTCCTTAAAAAAATTCTCTTAATACATATGTACACACACACCCATACACTACACATCTGTTTGTTTTGTTCTCTGGAGAACCCTGACTGGTACAGATTTTAGTACTGAGAGCAGTTCTAGAGGGACAGATGAGTTGTCAGAATTGGTTCTCTAATCTGGTCAGCTTTCCAGACAGCAATGAGTCCATTTCCAGGGGGGAAGAGGGCACCGACAGTCCACGGCATGATGTGGCAACAGACACACACAAAATTCCATCCCTGGACAGCCCTAATCAAATATTTAGAAAAAGCAAGACTTTAGGTGACCGTATTTGATACATTAGTGCATCTGTGTCAAACCAATGAGTTGGAATAGACTCAATGGCCGTGGGTGTGGTTTTCTTTTTTGAATGATTATCAAGAGATGAGCTGGTTGTTTCTAATCATGCTAGAGAAGTGGGGAAAGCCAAGGATGAGCTCAGGGCTTCAAATTCCCTACTCAAGCTCTCATAAATGACTTGTGAGTTTCTATGTCTGACCTGAAGGAGTTCTTTGTCTGTGTAGTTGCAGAGCTGAGATTTCTGAAAACCAAACCCAGAGTACCATCCTGCAAGTGGCTGAACTGTAATACAAATCGAATTCCCAGCCTTGCAGAGTATCCGGGGTTCAAAGTGAGGGCACTGCTTGGGAAGGACTGAAGGTCCTGAAGAGTTGAATGGGGACATATGGGCAGATCCTGATGAAGCTGGGGGTTGAACCCTCACATTCCGCGACTCTTCTTTACCGGTCCAGGCAGCCCTTTCATCCTTCATGGTCTGAAGAACCTGTAATGGCCTCCCCTAAGGTAGATGCCCTGCGGGACATCCAAGGAAGATGCCATGTGGCAACCGAGAGACTGAGTGATGCACCCACAGGTCAAGGACCATCAAAGAAAAACCAGACGTAAAGCAAAGGGATGGCACAGCTCATCCCACAGCGGCGTCAGAGAGTGCACGGCCCTGCCAGCACTCCACTCCAGATTTCTGGTCTCCAGAACTGTGAGACAATACATTTCTGTTGTTTTAAGTCATCCACATTGTGGTACTTAGTCACGGCAACCCTAGGAAATGGAGACAAATCCCCAAGGCTGGGAGAGGAAGAGCTCATGCTTGCTCAGACAGGAAAAGCTGAAGGCCTGAAAAAAATGTGAGCTGAAAGCTGCTTAACCACAGTTTTCGTGTGGTTCCCTTCTCTCTCCCAAATGCAAATCGTGTGGCTGAGCTCCGAGGGAAGCTGGGTCCTCCGTGCAGGGAAAGGGGAGAGGGCCAGGAGCCGCAGAGGTCGAGCATGCCCTTGGAAGAACACAAAGGAGACCACAACCGTCCCCACACCTGTACATCCAGGCCTGCCTGGCAGGGTGGGCCCCACTTCCTGCACCCAGGAGCCCCGGGCTCTTTCTGCAGGTGTTCCTCCAGCCCAGCCCCACATAGCCCTGAGAAAACCAACCTGGCTGAGCTCTCACCACATTGCTCCAGCCTTTCAAAGATGCCTTATTGGCTTGCAAAGGCCACTCATCTTCAAATCTAGTCCTGCTAATCTTTAACCATTGGTTCCCACCCTCTCCACCACCACAACCCCACTGCCATCGAGTTGATTCCCACTATAGGAAAGAGTAGAACTGCTCCATAGGGTTTCCAAGAATGTAATCTTTACAGAAGCAGCCTACTACGTATTTCTCCTGACGAGTGGCTAATGGGTTCAAACCTCCAATCTTAGCTAGCAGCCAAGTTCTTAATCACTGCACCACCAGGGCTCCTTTCCACCACCAAGGACCCCTTTATTATATTTTTGCCCATAGACCTAGGGCTCCTATCTGTCTAAAGTGGTAATTATGACATGATAATCATTTTGTGTTGCAATTCACCATCTTTTTTTTTTTTTTAAATTAGGATTTGGGTGAAGATTTACAGAGTAAATTCACTTTTCATTCAGCAGTTCACATATACTTTGTCTCATGTCATTGACCAAAATTTACAATGCAGCAGCTCCCCTCCCACTTCCTCCCCATAGTTACCTCCTCCCAGTGTCCATCCCTTCATACTCTTCTGCACCCTGAACTATCTCCCTGTGCATAAGCAGCCCTTCCTTCTCCCATGATTGTTCTCTCCAGGGCATGTGTCTACTTGAGGTAAATGTTTAACTCACATGCCTGTACTTTGTTTGGCTGGAAACCACAGTTGTGGGTTCAATTCCAGACCTGAAGGGCAGCTAGGGGCCATAGTGTCAGTGGTTACACCAGGCTCTATTGGACCAGCAAACCTGGTCCTCACCTTCTTCTTCTTTTTTTTTTTTTTTGCCTCCAAATGATTTTGAGTTTTGTACCACATTGTTCTCCCTCTTTATGCAGGATCTCCTACATCCCTTCCAAGTGGATGGCAGTGGTAGCTGGGGCAATTCACCATCTTAATTAACCAAACCCATGTCTCTGACCTCTGATCAGGATGTTACTTCTCAGAGTTAACATATACATGGCCATTCCAGTCACACAAAGGACTCTCCATTTCAGATAGCTTGTATATTTTCATTGCAGCCTATTTGACTACCATCATTTGGCTTTTACAATGTCCAGACTAGCTCTTGGTCACGAAGATAATCAAGTCCTAATGCATGCTATAGCATGGACCAACCCTGAAAGCACCATGCTAAGGGACAACCATTGTAGGGTTCCACTTACATGGAGGCAGTGTACAGAGACCAAAGTTCCTTGGTGGTTACCAGGGGTGGGAGGGAGGGAAGGAAAGGGGACTCACTGCTGAGGGGACAATGAGCTTCTATTATGGGTGATGGAAAATTTGGACACAGATGTTAATGATCGGACTTGATCAACATAACTAACATCACTGAACTGTGCATGATGTGATGTGAAGAATGCTGAGGAGAACATCTGATTTGTTGCATGTTCGTTTACCACAATGAAACGAATGCTCTTGGATCTCTGGGACTATTCTTCAGCACCATCTCCCCCGACACACACATACACGTGAAGGATCCTACTCTTTAGGGGTTGGTGGGACAATGAATTGGGCCAAAGTGGGTCAGCCGGAAACAGACCAGTGAGGCTTGTCCCCAGCCACTCTTGAGCAAATCTTTGGTAAAAACCTTCTCACTGCCAGTCCCATTAGAAGATATGGATCTCCCTGGAGATGGTGTCCCCATGGCTGTTCTCATGCAACCCTACACCCCAGGGCACTCTCTGACCCTCCCTTTTTGAATCTATAGAAGTGGACTTGCTGATCTCTTCCCTGTTGTTTCAGGAGCCCTGGTGGTGCACAAGTTAAGCATCAGCTGCTTGAACCCACCAGCCTCTTTACTGGAGAAAGATGAGGCAGTCTGTTTCCATAAACGTTTATAGCCTTGGAAACCCTACAGGGCAGTTCTACTCCATCTTTCAGGGTTGCTACGAGTCAGAATTGACTCAATGGACATGCAACAACAGCCTGATCCCACCTGAGCACGCAGCCCCCTGCTGCAGGACTCCCCTGCCGGCATGGCATGTCGCGTGGTGGTGGAGTGTTCCCTATTGCTGCCCTCGGACCACGTGAAGGCGTCCAAGCCCAAGTATTTACAATGCGTGGAGAACAAACAGGCACCCCACAGGACCGCAGAACTGCTATGCTGGGGGATGAGTGTAACACAATTTCCCAGGAATTTCTTGGTTAACCTTGGGAGGGAAAAAAATCCCTTTAATATTTCAACAGCACAACCTTAACAGGCCATGATCTTGTTAGCAAAAAAACAGTGCCATGCTTTGTGATGCTTCTAGGCCAGGGTACGGCCCTCCTGGCTCCAAAAATGTAATGCCCTCGAAAGGATGAACTATGAACTTCTATGCAGTCAGCACATGGATTAAAAATGGCTATGTCTCCATTTCATATACTTGATACACCTGTCAGAAGAAGGCCAGTTGCCACAGTAAAGAACTGTACTGAGAGCCGGGTGGACTAGGGACGAAGGACTCAAGTCAGGGGACTGGATGAGGTGCCAGCCTTGACAGGTGTCCTCAGCAGGATGCTTGGGCTGCTCCTTTGCCTCACTAGCTCTCTTGGAGCCACGTAGTGTGTGCGCTGGAGGGTGGGGAGTTGGCCAACAAGAGGGGCTGTCCCCTGGTCACCCTGACATCCCAGTAGTCGGGGTGGGGAGAGAGAAAAGGTCCAATCAATGGCTACAGAGTAGGGTATTTCCTTTTGGGCTTCTTGAGGTGGGCAGGGAAGGAGCCATGAACACGGCGTTTGGGTAGGAGGGTGGGGTCCCTGGCTGGTGCAAACGGTTAATGCCCTCGGCTGCCAACACAAGGTTGGCAGCTCCAGCCCACCTGGACGTGCATCAGAACAAGGCCTGACGATGTACCAAAGAATCAGCCACTGAGAACCCGATGGCACACAGCGGTACCAGGAGCCAGAGCTGGGCCCTGCAACTTCAGCAGCGTCTGCAGGGCAGTGGGCCGTGCTGCTGCCGACCCACAGGCAGGCAGGAGGGCGTGACCTCTGCTCTCTGACCACAGTGCACCCAGATCGTGACCTCTGCTCTCTGACCACAGTGCACCCAGATGACTGAGAGCACCCAGGCCTCTGGGTACAAAGAATACTGGGCTGTGGAAGGGGATGCTCTCACCCTTCTCCACCCCAGAGGGTGGGCTTGGGCTCAGCCTAGCCCAGTGTGGCTTTGCTGTGGCATCGCTGTACTCCACTGTGAAGTGGGCAGAGCACTGCACTGGGGATCCTGGGCCAGGGCTGCATCGTTGGCTCGCTGGGTGACAAAGCAAGTCACGTCCCCTCTGCACCTTAGTGTCCTCATCAGTCACATGAGGCACCTGCCCAACCAAGTCCCAGCCGTGCACGCGAGGGTGCTTTGAGAAGCACAGAGCAGCGAGTCAAGCACTTGAAGATGCTGGCTGTCTCATTATGAGAGAGAGGAGAAGCTAGACAAGAGGGAAGCCCCACCGCTCACTTATTGGATAGGAAAACTCTAGCACAGTGTTGATGAAGCTGTGGGGGGCAGGACTACGAACGGAGGCAACCGCTTCAGGGGCAAGGTGGCAGTGCCCCCGATTAGAGTGTGCGGGGGTACTGGAAGCTGTGTATTTCAAACACCAGTGGGGTCACCCGCAGTGGACAGGTTTCTGTGGAGCTTCTAGACTAAGACAGAGTAAGAAGAAAGATCTGATGATACATTTGCAGAAATTAGCTAGTGAAAACCTGTGGGTCACACAGACTACTGGCCGGTATAGTGCTGGAAGACGAGCCCCCTAGATTGGAAGGCACAACACAATGGCTGCACCAGTGGACCTGAACATGAAAATGGCCCAGGACAAGGCAGTGTTCCGTTCTCTCACACATATGGTCACTGTGAGTTGGAGCTGACTCCATGGCAAATGGTGACAACAAAATATTGGCCCAGAAGTTCCTCTGCTAGTAATGTGTGTGGATGTGGTTCCAAAAGCATGGATAGCTCTACAGAGCTGTTGTTGCTTAGAGGAGATCACACGAAACTAGACAACAACTCAGTGCCCATCTGAGGAGTGGGCTACATTAGGGCAAAGTGCCACCAGCTCAGAGTAAGGCAGGTCTTTAGTGGCTGGCAGAGAAAGAATCCCCAAGAAAGGAAGAGCAAGGTCTGCGTGCATGTGAGTGTGTGTGAGTGTGGGTGTGAGAAAGTGTGTGTGAGGAAGAATTCCCAAGAGCAAGATCTATGAGTATGTGTGTGAGCAAGAGTGTGTGTGAATATGAGTAAAAGAGTGTGTGTGAGTGTGTGTGTGTGTGTGTGTGAGTGTGTGAGAGAGAATGGGAATGTATGTGAGTGAGAGTGACTACGGGTGTGAGTGTATATGTGAGTGTGTGCAGTGTGTGAGCACAGAACATTTCTAGAACACACAGAACTTAACAGGAGGAGGATGGTTCATGTTTTTAACCACGAGCCCATGGGAGGTGATGCATTTTACATGACGCTCAAATAAAAAACCTGCTACCCCCCCCCGCCCCCGACATTCATGCCCATGGTGCCCGGGGCCTGGGCTGCTCACCTTTCTAACCATTTCCACTGGAGGAAGCGGTCGAAATACATGCTGTCCAGGTAGTCCTGGAAGGGCTCTCCCCGCAGGTAGTCGTGGACGGATCTAGCTCAGATGGAACAAACATAACATTTTATAATCCTGCTCTTGAAGCAGGCAGGCTGAGCTCTATCCAGTGAGTCACCTCCCGGCCCCACCATTTCTAGGCTCTGGAAACACAAACACCCCGGTGCCCCGGGACAGATGCAACAGGTCTGTCAGAGGCTCCTTCATTCTACAGCAGGTTGTCTGAGCCTGACGGGTTGATTCTGTGAACATTCATGAAGCACCTACTATGTGTTGGGCAAGGAGGCCTGGTGGCACAATGTTTAAAGCAGTTGGCTGTTATCTGAAAGATCAGCAGTTGGAACCTATGGAAGAATGATGAGGCAGTCTGCTTCCCTAAAAGATTCCAGCCTTGGAAACCCTATGGAGCAGTTCTACTCTGTCCCATAGGGTCGCTAAGAGTTGGAATGAACTGGAAACAAGGATGTGTTGGGCTAGGACACAGCAGTGAGTGTGCCGCTAACACTGAGATGCGGAGGCATTCCCCGTATATCCCACAGATGGATCATCATGAATTGGAGCTAAGTAACGTTTCTGGGGTCAGGGATCTCCCCAAAGAAGGGAATCTTAGCTGGGATGGGAAGGACTAGGTGCAGGAAAGGAGTTGGGCCCAGAGAAGGGGGTGGATGGGGTGGACAGCAGGCAGAGAGGTCCAGGCAGAGAGAGTTGCACGTGCAAGGCTGAGGTGGGAGGGAGAGTCGTACACTTCAGCCTCTGAAGGAAGGCCCATGGGCCTGGTGGGCAGATACTAAGGGGGCTGGTTGACAGGTGGGGTTGGGCCCTGCCAGTATCACAGGCCACAGTAGAGACTGTGATCTTTAGCCTGAGAGCAATAGGAAACCACTGATGCTTTAGCCAGACAGTGACCTGCTATCCCAAGAAGAGGACCCCAGGTTTGGGAAGGAGGTGTGGCTGTACATGTTCTGTTGTTTGTGCATGCACGTGTCTGTGTGCATGCACGTGTGTCTGTGTGCATGCCTGCCTGCCTGCATAGATGTGTGATGGATGTGTGTGAACACAGATGTGCATGCGTGTATCTATGTGCACATGTGTGCGCACATGTGTGGATGTACATACAAGGATCTGTGCACATGTATGTGCACATCTGTGTATATAGATATATGTGCACATGGAAGTGTGTGATGGATGTATGCCCATGTGTGTGGATATGTGTGCATACATATGTGCACAGGTGTGTGGATGAATATGCACCCATGTGTGCATGCATATGTGGGTAGATGTATATGTGATGGATGTACATGCCTGCGCACATGTGCATGTATGTGTGTGCACATGGATGTGGATGGATGTGCACACGCATGGATGTGTGGATGGATGTACATGTGTGCGCACATGTCCATGCATATATCTGCACATGGATGTGCACGTGCACACGTGCATGGATGTGTACACACATGGATGCATGTGATGGAGGTGTGTTAATGTCTGTGGATATACGTGCACATATGTGTGCATGAGTATGTGGATGTGTATGTACCCATGGTACATGTGTGCGTGTGCACATGTGTGTGCATGGATGTGTGTGAGGACGCCTGGGGTTAGTTGGTACGTGTCAGGTGCACATCCTCCAACACCTCTCCCATTCACTCAGGCCAGTGCCAGGCACTTGGAGACAAGGTGGTGGGTGGGGTGGGTGGGGCTGAGGGTACTCAGGGTGGGGGTTGGGGCTGGGAGATTTTTGCACATTCCTTGTCTCAAAGGCTTGGAGAGCCACTCCTTTTCAACAGCCTCAGAAGCAGATGTTTGCTTTGAACTTGGTGCCCGTATCTTTTTTCCCCATCATGAGAAATGGACAAGCAAATGGTTGGCTTCTCTGGGCCCTCAAGCACCAAGGGCCCACATACCACACCCAGGGCTGCTGGGGGTGGGGTGGACGTGGAGGGTCTGCCAGCCCCCAGCCCCAGGGGAGGGCACTTACTGCGCACACGCAGAGAACAGCTCTTTGCAGGGCCTCTCAAGGAGTTGCTCTTGTGTCTGGGAGACCAGGTCTCGGCTGACTTGGACGACAAACGCTGGGGACTGGAGGGAGGAAGAGAGGAGTGTGAGCAGGAGGAGGGCGGCTGGCAGTGCTGGGGGCACTGCCCCTCGGGTGTGTGTGTGTCTCTTCTGGGGCCAAGAATCAGCCAGGCCCAGGTGACAGCGTACACGACGGCCCCAGCCATATTCCCTCTCACCCACACCTGGCCCTGGGCTGCACCCATGCTGTTTAGTGGTGCAGGGAGGTGGCTGGGCTGGGAGGTGATGAAGGAGCTGGGGTTTGGGGTCAGACTTCTGGTTCTGCCACTCACAGGCTGTGTGGCCTCATGGATGTCACTTGGCTCTTCTGAGCCTCACTGTGCTCACCTGCAGAACAGGGACAATGACAGTCCCAGGTGCTGGACTTGTGGCCAGGACTGAACAAGATGCTCACAAGTATATGAGGCTGGGCCCTCACTGAGCATAGCTGTGTCCCTCAGCCACGCTGGGCCCGTTCCTCAGAGCGCACGAGAGAAGAGGAACACCAGCCCAGGCTTGAGGTTCACTTGTGAATGGAAGGCTCGGGGGGTGGGGATTAGGGTGGAGTGGCTACGAGTGTAGTGAAGTGAGAGAGACCTTTAGTGGCAGGACCTTGGCCTTCACAGGTCACCATCACTGTTACCAGGAACGTGATCATGACAACAGGCTCTCCTGGATGAGTCAACGGAACCTTCAGGTAAAGCATGTGGCCCCATCCTGGCTTACTACATGCACATGATCAGCGTCACCACCGTCATTCCCTCCACCTTCCGGGTTACATCGTTTGGCTGAGTATCCAGGAGTCTGTGTCCTACCCAGGCATAAAGGAGCTCCAGCAGTGCCCTGGTTAAGAGCTCAGCTACTAATGGAAAGATCGGCAGTTCAAACCCACCGGCCACTGCACGGGAGAAAGATGAGGCAGTCTGCTTCCATAAAGATTACAGCCTTGGAAACCCTATGGGGCAGTCTACTCTGCGGCAAAGGGTCTTTATGAGTCGGAATCGACTTGACAGCCATGGGTTTGCTTTCCTTTTTATTCCCACTTAGAAGCAGCCTCCTCTGGGAAGGGCTGGCAGGGCCAGAGGCCCGCACCCACCCCCCCACATCAGCCCCTGCCCCAACCATTCACCCTCCACCAGCTGTTCACGCGGCTGACTCACCAGCTGGGCCATGAGGTGGGTTTTTCATAAATTACAGGGATAATTGAGAAAATTGCTGGGAGTAGGCTCAGGAAGATGGGAGGGGGGTGGGTAGACATGTCTTTCTCCCCAAAGGATGCTGGAACCTGAAAGGCTTGTTCCCCCTCCCAGCTACTGAAATGTGTCTGTGGGTCAGGTTACTTCACCAAGTCAACTCGGGTGGGGGGTGGGGGGTGGGGACTGGGGCTGGGTGTGGGCAGGAGGGGTCCGCCCACTCCTGGTCAACGCGATCAGCAGTTCACTCTATTCCCACAGACGGAGTGCCCACGGCCCTGAATCCTTTCCTCTTTCTTTCCCAGCTCCCCTCCTGAGCAGGACCGAGAGCTCCCAGCCTGCGTGGGATGGCAGATGCCGCTCACTCGGTGCCAGGGGAGAGAAGCACCAAAATCGGGTTCGAGCACATTTCCTGGGACCCGGGTGCTCACCCCAGCTCCCACCCCTCCTCCACCCCACCCTGCCCTGAACCCTCCCTCCCTCCCCAGGCCACACTTGATGAACAAGGCTGCAGAAGGGCACCCTTCTCTGGAGTCATGGTGGGAGGGACCCGGACCAGGAGGCCGGAGCCCTGAGCTCTGGTCCGACCTCCAACAGCGGGCACTTTGTGCCTCCATCTTACCTGTAAGAGGAAGGAGCTGCTCCAGACACCCCCAAACATCCTTCGTGATTTGGTTGTATTTGGGGAACTGTCTCGGGGATTCTGGGAGCTCTGGTGGCATAGTGCCTAAGGCATTTGACTGCTAACCAGAAGGTTGGTGGTTCAAACCCACCAGCCACTCCGTGGAAGGAAGGTTGGGCAGTCTACTTCCGGAAAGACTTACCTCCTTGGAAACCCAAAGGAGGTCATTATGAGAATCGACTGGATGGCAGTGAGTTAGGGTTTTAGTTTTTTTTTCAGTCTCTCAGGAATCAGTAACTCCAGGCTACTCTGGAGCAGTCAAATGTTAAAACAAACCCTAAGGCCACAGGCAAATACTCCTTATCTCTGAATGAGAGCCAATGGCCAGGACAGGGGTGGTTTGGAAGGGCCCAGTGCCTGACACGTTTGTTAATGACGAGATTTGTTCATGAACCAGATGTACCAGTATGTGACTTTGAACCTGCTGTTCAACTGTGATGTTTAAACGTGACCTTGAACCTGGTGTAAGTCCGTGGGTAGGCAGGCCCTGGGGAATAGCAGCGCGTTTCCTGGAGCTTCAGGAGAGGGGCCTGCACTGCCCACCTGGACGCTCTGAGGTGCACGGCACTCTGCCAGGGCTCTGCTTCATTTCTCCCAGTGGGAAGCCCAGCCGACTCACACTGGGCCCAGCCTGGTGAGGGCACAGCGGTGGACAGGACATGAAGCCAGTGTGCTCCTTGACCTCAAAGTACTTTTTCTGCAGTAAGACGGGACCCAGGTACTCTAAGGAGTTCCTGGTTGTGCAAATGGTTAAGCCCAAGGCTACTGACCCGGGTGTTGGCAATTTAAACCCACCTGGAGGCACCTCAGAAGACAGGCCTGGTGCTCTGCTTCCGAAAGACGACAGCCATGGAAACCCTACTGACTGCAGCTCTACCCTGAGCACACGTGGTGGCCGTGAGTCGGAACCGCTTGGTGCAGCTGGATCTGTGGTTTACACTTATGGAAGAGCTGGCTCCCCTCGCGGTCCTACCGATGACGTATGAATCAGGTGACACAAATGACTTCCAATATTTCTCCCTCCAAATAAAGCTTATCCATAGACCTTTTCTGAGGATAATTCAAAAATGACCACAGCAGCACATTAACAGGAAACTGTTAGAAACTCAAGCTGGATTCAGAAAAGGGTATGAAATGAGGGATAGCATGATGTCAGATGGATCTTGGCTGAAAGCAGAGAATACCAGAAAGGTGATTTTCCATGTTTTATTGACTGTGCAAAGGCATTTGCCTGTGTGGATCATAACAAATTATGGAGAGCATTACAAGGAATGGGAATCCCAGAACACTTCACTGTGTTCATGAGGAACCTGTACATAGACCAAGAGGCAGCAGCTTGAACAGAACAAGGGAATATTGTGTAGTTTAAAATCAGAAAGGTGTGTGTCAGGATTGTATCCTTTCACCACACTTACTCAATCTGTAGCTGAGCAAACAATCCGAGAAGCTGGACTGTAAGAAGGTGGCCATCAGGACTGGGGGAAGACTCATTCACAACCTGTGATATGCAGATGACACCACCTTTCTCGCTGGAAGTGAAGAAGACTTGAAGCATTTACTGATGAAGATCAAAGACTAAAGCCTTCAGTATGGATTATAAAACAAAATAAAAATTCTCACAACTGAGTCAGTCAGCAATATCACGATAAACGCAGAAAAGACTGAAGGCATCAAGGATTTCATTTTACTTGGATCCACAACCGTAGTCAAGAAATCAGATGACTCATTGCATTGGGCAAACCTGCTGCAAAAAGACCTCTTTAAAGTGTTTGCAAGCAAAGATGTCACTTGGAAGACTAAGGTGCACCTGACCGAAGCCATGCTATTTTCAGTTGCCTCAGATGCATGTGGAAGCTGGACTATGAATAAGGAAGACGGAGGAAGAACTGATGCCTTTGAATTCTGGTGTGGGTGAAGAATGCTGAATATACCACGGACGGTCAGAAGAATGAACAAATCTGTCTTGGGAGAAGTGCAGCCGGGATGCTCCTTAGAAGTGAGGATGGTGAGGCTACATCTTATATACTTTGGACATGTTATTAGGAGGGACCCATGATGTCTGGAGAAGGACATGATGCTTGGTCAAATACAAGGTCAATGAAAGAGAAGAAGACTGTCAGTGAGATAGACTGGCACCATGGCTCCATCAACAGGCTCAAGCAGAGCAACAATTGTGAGGATGATGCAGGACCAGACAGCGTTTCATTCTGTCGTATATGGGGTTGCTCTGAGTTAGAACCAACATGATGGCACCTACTAACAACAACAACGACCCAGTAAGGAGCCCTGGTGGCACAATGGTTAGGGCTTGGCTGCTAATCAAAAGGTTGGATGTTTGAACCCACCCAGTGGCTGTGCAGGAGAAAGACTGAGTAACCTGCTCCTGTGTAGATTATGGCCTGGAAAACCCTATGGTGCAGTCCTACTCTGTCATGTGGTACTGTTGTGAGTTAGAATCAACTCAATGGCACATAACAATACACAGACCCAATATGTAAAGCTGATAAACGTAATCGATAGCAATGGTTGACATATATTGAAGGTGACTTCGATCAAGCAGTGTGCTAAGCTCCTTACTTGCAACATTTCACCTAACCTTTCCTGCAGCCCTGTGAGGTGGGTACTATTATGATACCTGTTTCTCAGATGAGGAAACGGAGGCTCAGCAAAGTGAAGTAATTTACTCAGGGTCACAGAGCCAACAAGTGGCAGAGAGGAGATTACAGCCCAGGTGTGAGTCTAGAACGAATGTTCTAACTGGAAGTGGTGGGTGTCTGAGCCACCTGTGCTTCCCTCTCACCCTCACTCCATCTGCCAGGAAGCTCTTGACATGTGACTTTAGTCCTTTGGGGTCTGCAGAGCCCAGTCTGATAACCAAGAAACTGCGAGGGCCTGCCAGCTGAGGTGGTCTGAATCTATAGGAAAGATGGCGGCTCAGGCCCATGAGGCCAGGGCCAGAGAGGGGAGGGTGATAATGGGTGTGGTCACCTGGGAAAGGCTGCGGGCAGCATGAAGTCAGAGGGAAAGTGGAATTGAGCCTCAGACCTCCCAATCCTTATGGGCCTCCCTCCTGAGGGCAAGGACAGCCAACTGGCTGCTACAGGTTCCCTTCTCGGCCATACTCAGCCTCCTCCTCAGCGGATGGAAGG